GCCCCAGGTCCGGAACCGAGATTCCCAGCAGTTTCTGTGGCCTCAAGGGACGACCATACATTGTGCGTTTCTGCATGCGCTTGCAGCTGCGCTTCGACCTTCATCGTTAATCTCGGCATGGAATTCATGCTTTCGCCGATTGCAGCTGCCATGAAAGGCCAAGCGAACTTCCCCAATTTGCCCATGCCCTCCCTCATATATGGATATGGCAAGTAGCTGTTCACTTTGCACATGATGACTTCAGGGAGCCTAACAACGCCAACGTTCGTCGTTCTGCATCCCGTCGAGAACGTCCCGACTCTCTCATCTGTTGGCCCATCATTTTCGACTTGGGTAAAAGCGTGCACCTGAAGCTACACACAAGCTCTCGACTTTAGTCTTTACGCAAACACAATCACAATATGGCTCCCCCAGCGGCAACCAGCGACATCGCGCTACCGGCTTCCCCAGAATATCCCCTCCCTGAACAGAAGGACCCCTTGGCATCCTCAACACCAGTCACGAACCTATTCTCTCTGTCATCCAAGACCATCGCCATCACAGGAGGCGGTCGTGGCCTCGGCATCACTTTTGCCCTCGCCGTCCTTGAGGCAGGAGGCCATCCCGCCTGTCTCGACATTCTGGAGTCACCCTCGCCTGTCGAGTGGGCGCACCTGACCAAGCTCGCCGCCGCGCGTGGCCAGCACGTCTCCTATCATCGCTGCGATGTGACGGACGAGGACGCCACGCGTGCCGTTCTTGAGGACATTGACGCCGCCGCGCAAGCCCGAGGCGCGCCGTTTGGCGGCACCATTGCCTGTGCGGGTATTCAACAGAAGGTGCCGGCGCTGGACTATCCTGTTGCCGACTTTGAGCGGATCCAGAGGTGAACGTCGTTGGTGTTTTCGTGACAGCCAACAGACAGCAAGGATCTTGGTGGAGCGCAAGAGAGAAGGTAGCGTCGTGCTTATTGCGAGCATGTCGGGGCAGATTGCCAACAGGGTATGTGCTCGACCGTCTGCTTACTTCGCGAAAACGATGACTGACAGCTTCAGGGCCTGACATGTTCGGCCTATAACACGAGCAAGGCGGCTGTCCAGCAGATGTGCCGCTCGCTGGCGCAAGAATGGGGCCAGTACGGCATCAGAGTCAACACGTTGTCGCCCGGTGTAAGATTTCACTCTCTGACTATCATTACATCGCGCTAACGAGTCGATGACAGTACATCCGGACGGCAATGACGGACGAGCTTCTGGCGGCTGAGCCAGAGGTCGAGAAGACGTGGATGCACGGCGCCATGCTCAACCGACTTGGCGTACCCGAAGACTTCAAGGCGCCGGCTGTGTTCCTGCTGTCGGAGGGTAGCCGGTTCATGACGGGTGCCGACCTTCGGGTGGATGGCGGGCACTGCGCCTCGGCATGATCCGAGTTGATACAGTAACGAGATGAGAAGCGCACGAGAAGCAGAGGGTGTATTGGGTACTCGGGCGTGCGGGTGTGAAGTATTTCAGCGTCGACAGACAACGTAATGCAAGTGCCTTGAGGGCATGCTGGCTTTTTTCTTCGAATTCCCGCCTACATACGATGCCCCGAACAGCCGGTCGGTGATGTGTTTGCGAAGAGCGTGGTTTTCCGCCTTCTGCCGACCCCGCAATTGGTATCTCTTGGTTTTCCGGAATCACCTCTGAACCATGGCGATGGGTCTGTCCGGCCGGCCGGTGCCCCTAAGAGGCAACGCTCAAGGGCGCTGACCAGGGCTCCCGAAGCCAAGAAGAAGTAGCAACGCGTCCCAGTGCGTGCCACATCCAGATAAGCAGCATCGGAAGACGATTTTCCATCCACTGTTGTCAGGTCCCAAGGCGGTTGGCAGGCATGAACTCTACGAAGCTTACGTCTGCTCGTCGGTAGCGTACCGGAAGCTGCGCGCCATGGGTTGGCACGTTGGCCAGGCACGTTGGCCAGGTACGCCAATGGAGAGGGGCTCTAGCCAGAACAAGAGCGACAGGATAAAGGCAGACTGCGGGGGCAGGCTCTTGGCGGTCCATGGGTGGGGGGGGGGGGCGGCAGTCTGTTGTCCAAGGGTTCCGGCGACTGTTTGTTGGCCCAGAGAGGATGGATACTCGGCATCTAGAGCATTGGCGTCGAGTGTGGCGCCTGGTGGCTTGGAGGCTCTGCCAAGACCTGACGTGGTGAATTGCCTTGGGTCGGGAGTGGTGGCATCTTGGTATATGTAGTACGTCTTGGTATTGTACGTCTCGACGATCTTCGGTGGCAGTAAGAGTGTGATGTTGCGACAGAGTATGGCTGGTCTGATCATGTAGTGGGGCGGGTGAGAGTAGCAAGGGCAAGAAAGAGGAGAAAGATCGTGGGGAATTTCTCCGTTACGATTGCCTTCCCCGCCAATTCCACCACATAGATATCCCGCCAACCATCAACCCTTTCCAAGCAACATTCCCCATTCATCACGCTTGCCAGCACTCTTCATAGCCTCGACCATGATGTATGCCATTGTCACAAATCAAGGCTAACAAAGAAACGGCACGTCTGGATAGGTGGGACCTCGCTTCGCCTTGCCTGCAATGGGTCTGTCTGTCACCGCGAATCCATCAGTGGAGGAAGCCTTCCCAGCATCTTCATCGCCAACTCGGCACCAGGGCGAACAAGGAAATGACCAGGGCCATCACGACTGCGGGGAACTACTCTCCTGCGTACATATTTATAATGCTTGGCATCACCTCTTTCCCGGGGGCAGCTCCCGAACCAGCCTTCCGAAGGGTTTCCGACACCGCAAAGGTGCAGAATACCGCAGATTGAGAGCAATCTCCACACAGAACGCAGCGCCAAGACGACACATCGCGCCAACACCATGATGCAGCGTGTTCGGGGTATAAGAAGAGTCCTCGGCTGCTCTACCTGGCCAGACTCTCTGTCGGATCACGCTGAAGTCGACCCAGTGCCATCAAGCCCCCGTCCAACAGCACGCCCAAGATGAAGGTCTCCGCCCTCTTTACTGCCCTTGCGGCTGCTACCTCGGTGATCGCCGTAGCTGTCGACCTTCCCGCAGGCGTTCCTCGCAATGTTCAAGAGTTCCGAGAGAAGCATCCTGTCGCGAAGCGAACTCCCCACTGCCGCAAGACCTTCACGCCTCGCGCCTCCGAGAACGCCGAGGACGATATCTCAGCCGATCTTCTCAATGCCATTAAGAGCGCCAATAATGGTGGTACTGTCTACCTGCCCAAGGATCAGCTCTTCGTCATCGATGAGCCCCTTGATCTGACCTTCCTCAACGACATTCACATCCACCTCGAGGGCACCATCCAGTTCACCAACAATGTTGAGAAGTGGCAGAAGAACGCCTTCTACCACCCTTTCCAGCGCTCGCTTATGTTTTGGAAATGGGGTGGCAAGGATGTCAGGATCTATGGCGAGGGTACCATCGATGGACAGGGCCAGCGCTGGTGGAATGAGTTCTCGGGCGCCGAGTGAGTGTTCTTCATTTCGATTGAGTGTAGACGCGAGACTGACACAGGCAGGATCCTTGACCCTGACAATGACTACCTCCGCCCTGTGCTTTTCTTTGCTGAGCACATTGACAACCTGCACGTTGAAGGCATTCTCATGAAGAACTCGCCCGTTTGGCACAACTTTATCGTCGATTGTACGTCTTCCACCAACTGATGCGAAATGGTAAAGGCTGACCTTGAAAGCAACCAATATCTTCTACGAGGACGTAATCATCTCAGCGAAATCGAACCGCGCCGGTGTCGAGCCCAAGAACGGCGACTTTTTCAACTCCCTTAACGTTGATCATATTCGCATCAACCGCGTCTGGGTCGATTCGGACGACGACTGCTTCTCGCCCAAGACCAACAGCACCGACATTCACGTGGACACGATGTACTGCAACAACTCACACGGACAGTCGATCGGTTCGCTCGGCCAGTATGAGGGCGAGTATGTCATCGTCAAGGACGTTGTCATTGAGAATGTCTGGATGCTCAACGGTAACAACGGCGCCCGCATCAAGGTCTGGGCTGGTGAGAACGTCGCCGAGGGATTCGTTGACAACATCACGTTCCGCAACTTCTATTCGGCCAACGACGACTGGCCTATCTTCCTCGACTCGTGCTACTTCAACGTCAATGCCGAGACGTGCCGCAAGTTCCCATCCAAGATGAAGGTCTCCAACGTCCTATTTGAAAATTTTGAAGGCTACTCGTCCGGCGTCCGTGGCCGTGCTGTTGCGCGCGTCAGTTGCTCGCCTGCTGAGGGCGCAGGCTGCGAAAATGTCAAGTTTGTCAACTTTAACGTCACATCGCCCTGCGGCGGACCCTCGGTTATCATTTGCGACGGTGTTGAAGGCGGCCTCGGAGTGGACTGCGTGCCGTTTGACTCGCCGGAGGCCAAGGCTGCTCTGGCGGACAAGTGCACCAACCCTGAGAAGGCAAAGATTGAGGCTCCTTGGCCTGTCCGGGACTACTGAACCGAGTTGTTCCTTGGGAGTCGAGCATGAGGGTCTCAGCAAGGGCACAGTGTGGAACTCATGATTTATGACGTGGTATTCAGGATTGGAAACTAGATAGGTCTGCCTAGATAGGCAGACATTAAGAAGAGGCTATAGCCCGGGTTTGATACAAAAATCTAT